TACTCGTCTGGCTTTTAGAGGTCCATGGAGCCTCCAAAAGGCTCCTAAGAGAAGGAGTCACAAGTCCAGGCTAGCAACCCGAGCCCCAGAAGCCATGCTTTGGGCTCCTGTTCTGGCCCCAGCAGCCATGGTTCCGGCCCCAGTTCTGGCCCCAAGAGCCATGGTTCCGACCCCAGTTCTGGCCCCAACAGCCATGGTTCCAGCCACAGTCCTGGCCCCAGCAGCCATGGTTCCAGCCTCAGTTCAGGCTCCAGTTTCGGCTCCAGTACTGGCTCTCCGGCCGACGCCAGCTCCGTGTCCTGTCGGCGTACCGACCGACACAAGTTCCCTCTCAAGTCCCTTCTCAAGTCACCTCTCGAGTCCCCTCTCGAGTCCCCTCTCAAGCCCTCTCTCTCGAGTCCCCTCTCTCGAGCCCCCTCTCCAGTTCCCTTTCGAGTTCCCTCTCCAGTCCCATCTCGAGTCCCCTCTCCAGCAGTAGCGTGGCGTGGGGAAAAAATTAGAGGAAGCCAATAATACGTCCTTTCTTTTGGGGTGGGGGGGGTGTGATGGTCAATGTAATAACGTAACCAGAGAGTATTACAGCGCCCGATATCATTTTACACACATTTGTATCATACAGATGCAGGACTTACACACGCCTGTTATCTGACGGACAGGTCCGCACGCACTCTCCAGCCGAAACTCTAATAAGCATTCATTCACAAACTAAATCAGGAGACCTTTAACGTTTTACGTCCGGTTCGCTCCTTTGTTCCTCGCTGTACACAGCTCCAGTTTGGGCATTGGACTGTCATCAGATTGTATTTGTTGTTGCTGCTGCAGCGGAAGTTTAGTACAATTATTTTTGATTAAATACTCCAAATCTCCACCCTCCATAATTGCACTTGCTTCAGTAGCTTGCTACTTTCTAACGGCGGTGAGAGTGGTGCAGTGGCGCTATCTATCTTCTATCGATTAGATTTATGATTCGAAAATTATAAAAGTAGGGTAGACATGTGGATATTATCCGACTGAACAAAACGTGTATTTACCTAACAGGTTCGTTTTCCACTGACCTTTTTTCGAGCTATTTTCCAAAATCCTATGGAGAAATCCCATTGCTATTTTGTTGAGGGAAACCGAGCGCAGCTTACTTCCGCTTTTTGGGACGCGTCACTGCACCACTAAATTGATGCGATTTGATTGGATTGTGAGGCAAGGGAAGCCAGCCGCCTCTGGCTTCTCTTGGCATGGCCCTGACCAATCACAGGTTGGCAGGGGCATGACGTGAGCCTCATCTGATTGGTCAATCCCTCAATTTTTTTTCACCAAGGGAAGCAAATTTCGGCTGGCCTCCTCTCGCAACAGAGAGTGCAATCTACTGTTTCACCATAACATCTAGAAGGGCACTGTTTCACTCTTTGTGAAATACTCAATGAGAATGGGGGAGAAACGGGCCGGCAGCAACAAAGAACAAAGAATTTCCGAGTGTTTTTATTTATTTATTAAAATTACAACTACAATCCGAAAAAACAGGGAAAGCCTGGCTTCCCTTGACCTCCAGGAGAAAACGCCACTGGTGAAAACATTCTAAATATATCGTCCTCATAAATCAAGGGGGGCCTTTTCCACCCACCCATATCTAGTTTCAATCACTCTGCTGGAGGTGATACACTAAATAACTACACATTTTAAAACCTCCAATCTATCCTGGGAGGCCGTGTCTCAGTGGATAGTGCGCTGAACTTTGAATCAGGGTGTAGCAAGTTCGAGTCCCACTGCAGTCAGCATGTTAAGTCCCTGAGACACTTCACCCCAAATTGCTCCTGTGGGGGTTGCCCACAGTACTGAATGTATGTAAGTCGCTTTGGATAAAAGCGTCTAACAAGTGACATGTAATGTAATGTAATCCCTTTAATCTGAACCTTTGTGTGCCATTTGTTGCAGTATCCATGACTCTATGGACACAACACTGGTGTCCACTGGGGAAACAAGCTTTTGTAATTGGTCATGGTGAGTAGAAGCTTTTTATGTTCGTTTATTTAACAGCGTGCTGTTTGCTTTCAATGGACTCAAAGTCTAGACAGTCATCATAATATATGAAAATCAAGAAGTGATATGGTGGCATCCATTTATTATTTTCTAACTTTCAAGGCATCAACGCAGGTTGCTTTCCAGCAGTCTTGAAGAATTGCAGAGTGGATCATTACAAAAGGTTGGTTTATTCATAGCTGAGCCTTTTTTGAACCACCATACCTTTTGCGGCAGCTCTACAAGATAATGAAGCTATCATCAAAGAAAGACTATTGCATTAATATAAACTATATATTTATATAGATATATTTATTGAGATACATATAAATAAAGAATAAACATTCATGTTCTTTTAATCTGTGATTGCGTGAATGCTGATCTGCTAACTCAGAGTTGTACGTGTGTGTGCATGTTTCTCTTTATTAGTCCATGAGGCAGTCAGCAGAGTTACTCTAATGCGGAAGTGGTTCAATGGCACACCCCTCGTGGGGACGCAATCATGTGATTAGCTTAAAATGAAGCAGACATCTGATTGGCTACAGACACTGCCCTATTTAGAAAAATGCATTTGTGAATCTAGCGACGTCAGGGGAGTCTCAAAAATCAGATTCACTCTCAAAAAGCGGTTTTACGCAAATGGCATTTGTTTATCCTTCTGTCAGCATTTATTTATTTTGAGACTGATCTGAGCCAATATTTGACTATACACACACACACACACACACACACACACACACACACACACACACACACACACACACACACACACACACACACACACACACACACACACACACACACAGAAAGGGCCAATCCCCACTTGAAGTGACAGTTGTGCTCGGTATCATGGCTGCCTCCCAGATGTTTCCATGTAACAAATCAAAGGCTTTAAGACGTTTAAATGAGAATGCCCATTCTTGATGGAAATATAAAGGGGTTATACCTCAAATCAGTTCAATACGCTTAAAACATCCCATAGCTGAAGCAGATAAATACCAGAATAACATAGTATCTTTGTTTTCGAAGCAGGTATCAGTGAATTGTGAGATCTTGCATGAAAGAATAGTTCACTTCTGTTACTATACTTTCACAGACATTTGGGTCATTTATTTGAGATGTGGTTCTAGACCAGACAAATAACACACTGGTTTTGTTATATACTCTTCAGAATCCTCACATGGAGCTGAGCAATTACCAGACTCTGCCGGGGAAACTCATGATAAATAAGAGAGAGCAGAGAGCCAGGAAGCATGGCGACAGAGAGGGAGAAGAAGAGTATCTGTCTCCAGTCCACTGCCTCCAGCAGGAGGACTACGGTCTCAGTGAGTTTCTCCATTCATCACTGATACATCTTTAAATCATACAGTTTTGGAAAATTCAGTATTTTCTACTTCTGAAAAAAGAAAATGTTTCAATGAAAGGTTTTGAGAGTCGAGTCTGTCAGAGTAAGTTTGACATTGAGCCGTATGCAAGAACAATAAAACAAATGTACAAGTGATCTAAGCGGACTCAAAATGTGATTAAGACTTTGGAAATAAAATGTGGAACCGCTGTTCTGACTACCAGATATTTCCTCATTGAAGAATCCAAGACCGGCCAAAGGGATCACAATCTCCTTCTCATTTTGGCGGCCTCTGTTAGCAAGTCATCTGTCTTTGTCTCCTCGAGTCTTTTGCATCTGCATGCTCATATCTTAGCAGCTTCCACTCTGCCAATCTCAGCTCCACCTCTTGTCCTACGTCCGTGCCAGCACCTCCAATAAAGACACTTATTTTTATTTTTTTAAAAGCTTGTTGTTTTTTGAAAAGTTGCTGTTTTTCAAACATAATTTTTCACTGCTCTAAGAACTACATACTAATTTGACTTTGCCTCAATTTTGGTAACTTTCTTGCAGTGCAATTAAATCCACCAAATTAAAATACCACTGAGGCTAAAGGGGAGATGTGTCCTTGGAGAGACCCTTTAATGTAGCAAGAAAGCTAATTTAATATTGAATAAATCAACTCAACTAACTTTGCTCCTACTGCTTCCTTCCTACTACTTGCATAAATTAAATCAATTAATGCTCTGATTATAAATAATCGTTTAGCTCTTTTGACAAATGGAGCGAAGCCTGCGAGCTAGTTCAGGCAGTCAACTCGAGCACTTCATTATAATTCATACATAACGCCCATTGCCACTCTTCAACCAACCAAACAGAGTCTCCTTAATATGTCGCTCTATTTAACATGCCAGGGGCCTCATGTATAACGCCGTGCGTAGGATTGACGTGGGAAGGTTGCTTCCGTAGTAGAAATCCGAAAAATAGGTCCATACATTTTCCGCCACTTTCCGATTCACCAAACATTGCGTACTGGCGAGGAAAGTGCGTACGGCACTTCCTACGCCGGTTTCCCTTTATGAAACACAACCGACTCGAAATTCGGTGCAGCTTTTGCGGGCTTCACGTAACGCCCATATTTTCCTATAAATAGTCAAAGAAACGCCCTTTCATTCATTCATTTTGACTGACTGCATGGAGAAGATCAAAGGAAATGACGACAGAACAGCTAAAAAAAAAATCTCACACCGTGTCAGATTTTGGTCATTTTGGGGAGGTCGAGATAAATCATATTGTTTGGTGGATGCAGTTTCAACCAGAGTAGCAGCATGGAGGTCGGATCGTCACCAAAATAAATAAATAAGTGGTCCGAAAAAGGTTATAATGACAAAAGAAATACACATAGCCTTCCTCAGGCAGTGTGTTTGTACCGGGGACAGGAGACCCCCCCTTGATGAGAAACTGTAAGAAATGATCGGGGAATCCCTCCGGAGTGGACTCAGGATGAGTGGATCTGAATTATGTTTTTGTATTTGGTGGTTTGTGTCCCAGCTGTCGATCAGCTGTAGGCAGCGTCTCCACTGCAGCCTGTGCATCTCAACACCCCCCCCCTCCGCAGCAACTCTATATCCACAAGTTAAAGGAAATACAACTAATGTGTTGTGTTATATTAGCTGTACAATTTAACACATATGGTGCTCTTAGTTTCCATACCTCCTGTGTTTTACGAGCGACTTATCAAGTAGGCGGCGAACGGCATAAAACACGATTAAACATAAAACCATGTTCGTCTCTACAACCTATAGAAATGCAAAGAGGCGTCAGTTTAGACGTAATTCTGTCCTCCTGCTTACCGCATCATTTATGAGAAAACATTTCATAACATTAACACAACATATTCGAGGTGGTTTTAAATAACATATCCGTATTTATTTATTTCTCCCAGTTATGTTTTTGTATGCACTGAGGAGTCTCAAACAGGAGTTTGTTAAATCATTTTAAGATTGGCTTTAATCAATGTTCGAAAATGAATTCTTCATATATGATAAATGAGAGGTAACA